GAAGGAAAACATGTAATTAAAGGTAGAAAAGTTACAATATATCTGATTCCAGCCTTCACTAGAATCAGATATATTCTGGTTCACTTTGAAAGGACTGAGGCTACTTAATTTTCTCACTCTTTTTTCTAAAAGAGAAATTACAAATGACAGAAAATATTTTCAATAATTTGATGATGCGTTAAAAGATTAAATCTGTTAAACTGACACTAAAGTATAACTTCACAACAACCAACATTCCTCATTTTATCTTTTGTTATTTTTTGTGTTGGAGTTCTCACAAAAATTCTACTTTATTCTCTTAATATTACAACTTTATTCTGGTAATAACACTTTATTCTCACATTATTTCACTTTTATTGTCATTTAATTTTTTTATTGTTACTGCGACTGTATTCTTGACATGTCTCTTTATTAAAAAAAAAGATTAAAAAATATTTTTCTGACCCTTATATTTTGTGGTAGAGCTCACCTGAATTCAAATAATAATAAATAATAAATTGGGCTGTGAAACCCATGGAGTTCATTTGTAGAATGTTAGAAAAAGAAATCCAAAAAGTAAACCAAAAATATCAATTTATCACACAGCCAAACCCTAATATAGGAATAATCATCAAAATTACAAGAAATAAATATATGTGCAAAATTGTGCATTAAATGCAAACCTCCCTGCAGCTTCATACAAATACTACAGACGCATTAAACGTTTCACTCAGTTTATCGTTTTCCAAAAAGAAATAAAAAGCATCTTTGTCACTCTGATTAAACTTTAATGTTTCACTGAATAAAAAAGGTTGAAAAAACCCCTGCAGCTAATTTCATTAAGTCACTTAAACATCTAAATATCTGCTAAACTCGCCGCAGGCTACAGCTCACAGAGGAAGAGGAGGAGCTGTGCTGTAACCATGGCGATGATGAAACTAAGGCTGCAACTAAAATGAACGAGGTGTTAACATCTGAGAAGAATTCAATGTAATGTTCACAGAAACTGAAGCAACTTCACGTCTGAGTCTGAACTTCACTGAGATGTTTGTAAAACCCAAAGATCTTCTGTTCAGCTGGGTAACATTAGGAACAAAACAGCCAGAGAACATGTTTACTTAAATTTAGGTGAACTATTTGTGCAATATTATAAGCTTAGTAACACAGAAAACTAAAATAGGTTGATATGGAAAGAACCGTGGGGAAGAAAAAGAGTTAAACTGAAATAATTTAAAGCTACAAAATTTTTAAACATTGCATTATGAAACAACTCCAAACTGACCTGAAAAGTACTACTACGTACTAGATAGAAAAGAACGAGGAGTAACTTTCCAGCCAAAGAAAAATAAAATCTGATTTTTTAAAAAAATAAAGTAACAAATAAAGTTAAAAATTTTTAAAGAAAAGGACTTTTGAAATTCTGAGATTAATCTAAAAAAAAAAAAAAAATCGGACTTTTTTCTAGCAAATTTTCTGCTCTTCAAACTCAGAAAATTCAAGATTTTTAGAGATTAATCTCTAAATTTCTGATATTTTTTTCTAGTAAATCTTCGACTTTTCAAGCTCAGAAATGTCCAAGTATTTATTATTAGATTTCCTTTTTTTCTACTTTATATGCCGCCAAAAGGTTTTGTATATCAAGTGAAATTGCAAAAACCTTAAGTGCCACCAGAGGTAGCCACAGTTCTATTTTCTGACCGGCCCTCATTCCGACAAAAGACTGAAATTTAGATGCTGAATCTCAATTTTACCTAAACTTTATATGCATATGTTTATTCAAGCCGTCCTCGTTTAGCTGCTCCACTGGAAATATTGCGGCGTAATATTTATTGTTCAAGAAACAGAGGGTAGAGAATAGTGAAGGGATTGAGAATATGACCAAAACAGAACATCTTGTTCACCAAGGTGGGAAAAATGAAGCGGGAGATCGCTAGGTAGATTGGAGCCCCGGGCAGCGCATGCTGTGACCATAGGAGGCGCTGTTGAATTGGTTTTACACCATGAGTTGGCCTCGAAGAAGAGTATGTACCAAGGTTAAGTAAGAAAAAGCCGAGCAAACCCATTTTTCTTGTACCAAACTGTTTGTGATCAATTTCTCGTTCTTCAACTTCCAAAGTATAAAAAGCAAACAATATGACAATATGACGACTGTTATAATGATCATAGTGTAACTTATAGTAAAACCAAACTAATTCTGGTGACTTTTTGTTTAATTATTAATAATTTTAAGCCTTGCAAAGACTAACACTTTGCAGTTATTAAATTGTAATAACAAATTTTATTTTCATCTACTTTCAGTTGGCCTTAGTGAGCGGTGCCACCATTGTGGGGTAAAACTACGGAAGGAGAGGAAGGTAAACTGAAGTAGAAGAAACAGCTGAAGCTATTAACTACTTGGGTAATTTTGTTAAACCACAAAATGAAGACCCAGGATCAGGATGGAGAAACTCGGCTGGCCTGGGAACGGCTTGTACCTCCTGAGTACGAGCTGCACCTTCAGCTTCTCCACGATCATAAAAAGAGTAAAGAATAAAGAAAATTGAAACGCAAACAGCTATTAAAAACCGCAATGTTTATTTAACATGATATAAAACAGATGGGATATGAACATTTGCAAATCAAATCTGTATGTACGTACCTATATATTGGGTATATATTCCCATCCTGATGCACCATGTACATTATATACACAGTAAACCTCTGATAGTTACACTTTATACACACACGCAAAAATATCTTCAATTTACAAAGGCTTCTTTTTTTATTGCTTTTCTCTTTTAGACATGCATTTTTTTCAGCTCCAGGGCTTTAAACCGACATGTCCTAAAATAGTACCAAACTCTGAAATTTTTGTCCATCTCTCAATTTAAATATATATCTCACATAGGGAACAGAGAGCGACTTAAGTCAGAACATTCAAATATGTATATATCGGCAGCTGACTGGAAACATCGAAATTTACAAATCATTTTAGTCTGCAAGATTAAAGTTGCTCCAATATTATATATGAGGAATACAGATCTGGTATTAATCAGTATAGACAAGTGTTCTTTACAATAAATTGATAAATATAACTAGTTAGCTAAATGTCAACATCTGAAAAGCAATCTGAATTAAATATTAAAGATTAAATTTAGCTAAAAGAATACGCAGAAGCATCTTAAAACCTTGAAAAGGTGTTGAAAAGCGAGTGGAAAAAGGCCTAAAATACTCTGTATTCAGTCTGTAGCCTCCCATATATACAGATAGACCTATATTGCAACAGCCTATTAAAACTAAAAATATAATAAAAACAAACTGAAAATCAAACTGCAGCATCAACGGTAAAAAAAAAAAAGGAAAGAAAAGGGGGAGAGAGTTTCCTCTCGACGTGGGGAAATGTAACCGAAGACCGGCGTACACGCTTCAGATGTCACAGTGAGGATACAGAAGTCCGAGGCTAAACGCTGCCAGGCTGAAGTTGGCAGTTTCACGTTCTGTAGGTCAAGGCCTTGTGCTGATCTCCAGGAAGAAGATCCTCAGGAGGAGTTTATGCTTCCCTTGTTCCTTCCTTCATGTGTAGGTCTTTACTGAGGCCAGAGCCTGTGCTGGAGGGCCAGACATGGAGATCAAAATTACTTTCAGGTGGATTTTTACCTGATAGAATAAGCATTTTAAAACATAAAACGCTTCGTAACAGACTTGAACCTTTTATATTTTGTCATGTCTCTTATTGGGATTTTGACCGACACAAAGTAGTGAATAATTGCCATAATGTAATACAATGTTTTTACAATTTTATAATAACAGACTTTTGAAAGTTTGCATCAGCAAATTAACACCTTTTACTGCAGCTACACCTGCAAGGCTTTCTAATAATTCTTTATAAAACAGATGAAGCTCAGATCTGATGGAGAAAATTTCAATCTTTGTCAGATTTTCAACCGTAATGAAGTTTTAACATAAAGACAAGTGAAAAACACTGCAGGAGCTTCATCTTGGAAGGCGGGGCTAGGTCCAACCAGGTGTTCTGCACAGGTGAATGGTTGCCATGGCGATTAAAGGATTCCTCAAACATGCATCAAAGAGTAAAGGCGACACTCCAGGTATGTTTTTGATGAAGGCATAACATTATAACATTCAAAAAAGTCACTTGTACATAATACCGCCCCTTTAAAGGCAACTAGTTGTGCTGGATTTTATTTTGGGGAATATTACTTTATGTACACCAAATGACTATCAGATCTTAAATCATCAAAAACTTTTGCTATATAACATAAAATCCCAATAATGAACACTGAAATTATTTACTGGAAGGCACAGGAATGTGTGAAATACTGGACAGTAACACCAAGTCAAACCATGCTGACGCACAGCAACAAAGAATACATAACAGCACCTCATAACCGTTCCCTTCATCATAGCATGTTTTACAAATTATGATTGAGAAATTAATTGTACAGGAATATGATTGTGAACAAAACAGGATGATGAAGGACCTTACTGGTGCCACTACACACACATGAAGTGAGAGCCGTCAGTGAGCTGAGGGGGTGTGTTGGGAGACTGTGGGGGTGGGGAAGAAGATGACAGGCTTTTCACTGCAATTAAAAAAAGCAACATGTTGAACACACAGCCACACACAAATGATGATAATAATAAAAAAAAACAATAATTAGGTCAATAAGCAATTACTAAATGACCAAACAGCAGAATTAAACAAGAAGGTCGATGAAATAAATTAGGAAATTAAAAGAGTGTGTTAGGAGAAGTTAATTACTAATGGAAACAGAAAGTTTGTGTCAAAGAACATCCTCCCACCAGTTTTTATTTAACACCATGCATTTCTTCAGTGTAATCCCCTCCATGTGTCTGTCGTCCCTGCAGACGTACCTGCTACCAGCTTACTGCGTTTGGAGGCCTCCGCTGCCAGTTCATAGGAGATATTAATCATCTTCTCCTTCTCCTGTACAGTAACCTCCTCTTCATTCACGTCCTCTGGGCTTAAAGCTAAACTAGGTAGCACATTCGCCATGCTAGGAAAAAAACACAAATGGCTTCTGTAGTGCATACTGCAGCTTTTATATATACAGTGCAGTATATGTGGCTATTTGGGCGCTTATATTTTGCTTTTTTCCTACTTTTTTTTGCCACGGTTAAATAATAATAGTGATAATAAACTATAATGTCATAAAAACATAATAAGGATGACCATAAGTGCTTTAGATTATTAATTTTATTTAAAGGTGACCCATTGAGCAGGTTAGGATCAGTCTATGGGCTACAACGAAATATATTCACTACATTTTTTACACAACATCCTTCTGAGATAATGAGATTTTAGTCTGTGTCAGTGTGTTCTGATGAAATGTTCTGGAACTCAGCTTGGGTTGCTTGGTAACGGGCAGAGTTCCACTGGGGTTGCTAGGTAACGGGTCTGGGCTTCTCTGGGGTTACTAGGTGAAGGGCAGTGCCTGCTGATTTGTGACGTTATATATGAAAAATGTTTGAAACAGCTCACTTTGTAGACATCAAAAACATTAACTAAATGTCAAAAACTGTCTGGATGTTTTTTTATTTAAGTGCTTGGGCTGTTTTTAGAAGCAGTAGAGACCCAAAAAGAAATACATAAACACACAAAATGTAAATTTCCCCTTTATTTAAACTTTTTGCAGCACTGGTGGAGTGCTTTATTCACAGTTATCAGACATGCAGAAAACTGTCAGGAAACAAACCACGAGTTCCTATTTGCAAATGTTAATATCAGACAGAGATAACCTAAGTAAACAAGCTCATCAATATTTAATCTAGGGCTACAAATAATGGTTATTTTATCTAAATCTGATTAAAAAAAATAAAAGTTGCCACATTCTGTAATTTCTTCATTTAACCACTTGGACTTTTTAATGCAATATTAAAAATACAGTAAAAGTTGCAAATAAACAGCTATGTTCCTTTTTTGAATAATAAAATGAAAATTTCACAGACTGGAGTGGTTTTGATGGGAAGGTTCTTCCTATTTGTGGTTCTCTGGAGTCCCAAAGCTTTAGAAATGGTTTTCTAACCCTTCACAGACAGATGGATTGTGAACGACTTTAATTCCAACCTGTTGTTGGATTACTTTCGGTATGTTGCTTCTAAAATTGTTGTCAGCTGTTGCATTTTTTTTAAGTTAAGTTAACCACAGTTTACTGAAGCTTTAACAAGGGGTAGCAATCACATTTTTATAGATTTTTCCCCTTTAATCAGCAAAATCATACCTTTAAAACTGTTTGTTGTATTCACTCAGGTTATATTTGTCTAACATTAAAGTTTGTTTCACGATCTGAACATCTGTAAGGGGGAAAATACTTTTTACAAACACAAACTTGTTTGTGACCTCTAAGTTTATCCATAAAGCCTAATTACTGAATCTGCTGAGAAATATTATTTAGCTGCAAGAAGCTCCTTTATATACAAGATATTTCTCCTATTAAGTGCCTGAACAGAAATGTCCATAGTTTAATATGACCGACTCGTGTATATTTACCTGTTTTTTGCTATTAGGGCTTTAATACGATCCACTTTCCGCCGCTTATCGGCTTCCTGCTCAGGACTCAGCGGCTCTTCTGGGTCTGACTCAATGTAACGCTCAGGAATCAGAACTTTGTCTGGAACAGAAAGCTGGGAAAGAAAAACAAGAACCTGTTAAACATTTCATATAAATCAACTGCTTTGTAGATGACAAATAAAGGAAATAAAAATGATGCTGATACAGTTTAATAGATTTCCTCACCCGTTGTGTTTTAACATTAGGACTGAAGCTAATGATTATCTTAGAAATTATTCTGACAATTAATCAATTCATTAGATAAAAAAGTCACATTCTGTAGATTTTTTTGCTTAACCACTTAAGCCTTTTTTACACAATATAGAAATACATTAAAAGATGGAGATAAGCAAATAATTAGTTCCTTTTTTAAATAACAAAAATAAATTTAATTGTCTAAAATGTAATAACATAGTAATCCTTCAGTGAATGTTTGATCATTTGCAGCAAAGGATGCTAAAACAAATATTCTATACTTTCCTGTTGATTATTTTTTCAATTAATAACTGGATGGCAAAAGGTGCTTATTAGAATTTTTATTTTTATTTTTTACAGAATCTGAAGCAGGTGATACTAAAACTGCCACTTGAGGAGTTATGGGTAGAACATATTCACAGGCAGCAGATTTTCTTTTTCATTTTAAATGCAAAATGTATTTATTTTTTGTATTGTGGCTTGATTACTGCTCTGACTGTGCTGTTCTTTCAGGAAATGGCTATTTTTAGAGTCATCATATTCCAGTTAACGATTTAACAATTACTAAATTATAAGACAATTATTTTAAAAAAATATCGATCACAGCTGACACCACACCAAACCTGTCTAGTCATGCCAGGGTGTGGTGACTGGTGTTCTGCCGGTTTACCTCTCGATCCAGGTTGAAATGATCGTCCTGCGAGGACTCTTTGAGGCGGGCGATCTCCTCTGCGGGCGTCTCCTGCTCCCTCACCAAGTTCTGGTGTCTGAGCGACGCCTCCAGCTCCTGAATGTCACTGCTCATCACCTCATCTCTGCGCCTCATTTGGGACTGAACATGACAACAAACAAAACAAAAAAGACAAAATTACAGGATTTGATGTGACGCGTAAGGAAAAATTCACCAATCGGTTGAAGATCATAACGGCCTGAAATCTACAGACGCATACAATCAATGTTTAAACAAATTTGCAAAGCAAGTATGATCTCTCTGTGTGAATAACAAGGTTCTGGTGACCAGCAGAGTAAGTACATGTAGTAACATACATGTAGGCTGTATTAGCTTGCAGATAAAAGCTGCATTAGAAAAGCTAATTTTGTTAGTCCAGCAGTAAATATCACTGACATTTATCTTAGTATTACACAGGGGTGGGCAGAGTAATCAAAAGTTGTAATAGAGTATTATGTGGAATGTATTTATATAGTTCATCTGTTAGATAGGAATGACTAGAGAGCTAATTGTAAGCTTGTGGTTTTTTGTTGTTGTCATAGCAACTCCATAGCAACTGCCTGCCAACATGGCTGTCAGTTACAAATTTCACAGATGTGTGACATCACATCAGAGCTATGATTAGGTCACCTTTGATAAAACATTGAAATCTGCAGATCCGAACTCAAAGAAAACTGAATACGAGTATCAGTCATTAAATCATTAAATGGGTGTCAATTGACCAGCACCTTCATGCTGTGGAAATGATTCTCCCTGTTGAACGATTGACTGCGTGAGGGCGTGTTCTCCAGGCTGCCTCCCCGGAAGCTCAGCGACTTCTTCTTCTCCCTGAGGGAGCCCTGCTGGTGGCGGCGAATCCTCTCCATCTGCTCCTCCACGCTCATCCTGGGCCGGCTGCCGTCCACCGCGCACAGCTGCTGCTCCACGGCGCTGCGCGGCCGGTCCTAGACACACACCAAAACACAATCCTCACTTGAACCGTGACTTTGCCTAAAGCAGAGAGCCACTGGCTTTTCCCACAGTAAAGTTCAAGCACTTTCAAGCATTTTCAAGGTCATTTTTCAAACTGTTCCAGCAGCACACTTTGGAGATAAAAACAATACAACTCAACTGCAAAAGACAGTTTAAACTCACTGTTTTATGATACAATTTATAAGTGTTGCTAATAATATCTTGAGATCGTATTCTACATTCCACAGCAGGGGCAAGTTAAACTAAAATAAAACTAAAATGGTAACTTTATTTGATAGGGTGCGCATAAGACTGTCATGATACTGTCATAAACATGAAAGGAATATTCATGAATGTTTATACCTGAAGTGTCATTCAGTAAATGATGACACTTTTAATGCAAAGTTGATACTTTTAATGAACTTTTAACACAACTTTTGGTGAAACTTTGAATTAAAAGTGTCATTATTTACTGAATGACACTTCATGACAACAGTCGTAAAAATTTATGAAGGTTCCTTCATATTCAGATTGTGACTTTATTACTTTATTCTCATAATTTTATTTTTTATCATAAGTACAGACCCTGTGACATGGCACGCACAGTGAATATAATTTAAAAATAGCACAACAATATGGCCAAGACATCCAGCACTGCGACAATATTGCCACAGTAGTGACTTGTTTTTATGTGCGAGGTGAAATGGTGTCACGCTCTAGTTAGGTCAGCCCCCCTGATGCAGCTTTAACTGTAAAACTGGGGATTGTTGAATATACTGTAAAATTTACCAACAACAATAGAGAAAAAGTGACTTCTTAGACTGTTGCATGTTTTATTAATGTTTCCGTTCTGAGAACCAGACTGAAGTGAAACCCAAACAGCCTGGCTGCTGTTGCTGGCACGCTCCTGCAGACACACATGGCTGCGCTCTGAGGGCTCGGGGCTTATTACTGCCTGAATAGAAGAGGCTGATGATGTGAAGTTGCTAATTTTCCGGTTTGTGCTTTGCTGAAGGACTCGCAGATGTGGACCTGGTGTTAAGTCCAAGCACCGTCCAAGCTGGACTGAAGCTAAACTTTACTAGCTTCAGAAACAATCCAGTCGGAATTTCGATGAACCGTACATAAACAAGCGTTTACAAGAGATAGATTGTGTTATATATTCATGTTTCTTTAAACAGAAAGCCGTGCAGACACACTGGGAAGGGGACACACCCTTCTGCGTGGTGCACTAATGATATGGTTGGTGTGTGTAAAATGATAGTGTTTGAGGCTGGAAACTGCATAAAGCTGCTTTAAGAGCATGAGTAACGGCCTGGCCATGTGTTGCACAACTTGCACACAATTAAAATGGGAATAAATACAATTTGAGAAAATTAGATGGTGTCAAGTTCACAGCTGCCTACAAAAAGTTCACCATGATAGAATCAAAAACAGTAATTTTGTGCCATTTCTGCAGATTAAACAGCTGAAAAACTGGGATTAAGTTTCAGATCTACGTTTGGTGACTGACCGTCCTGAGATCAGGCTTCTTGGTTTTCCTCAGTGTGACATAAGATGCGATGGAGGAAGACTCAGGCACTGGAGATTTGGTTCTGGGTGGGACGATGCCAACAGGGTAAGACATGCCTAAAAAAATAGTAAAAAATGTTAACATTCAAATAGTATCGGAAAGATGCAATATCTACAGAGGGATTATTTGTTTGCAAACATGGTGGATGTAAGAAAAAGCCAGCTTCCCTTTAAACCATCGCCAGTTGCCATGGTTACACACGGTTTCTGTTTTAACATGGGCCAGCATGTGTTTATTACAGCATGATAAAATAAGCTATGCTACCAAACTGACATTAGTGATTAAAATAAGTCTCAATGACCCAAACGCGCTACATGCAGGTGAGTGGAGGAAAAAATGACAGAAACTTCAGTGGCTGGACTTTAGCAAGAACATTAAAGCAATTCCGTTCATAGTAAAACCAGCTCTCACTGAGATCCACT